TTTTTTTTTTTTTTACCAGGTGCTGTTTCTATTTCCTCTCCCTACATTTCTTGCTGGAAAAACTGTTACCCTAACATTTCATGTGATCCAAAAAAGGTATGATCTTCTCCATGCTGTGCTCGATTATTTGGTGCCCCTGTTGGAAACTGTACGTTACGTTTATTAGTCTTAAAATTGGTGACATCATAAGTGATTTCGTTTGTCTATTACGTAACCAAACAGCATGTATGCAGCACGTGTCTTATCGCCCCATATATGGTGCTGTTCCACGTGCTTACAATGAGACGTGGTGTGTGTTTTTCGTGAGAGTTGGGATTGGGAGTTAACTGAAGTGTAATAGCACCAATCCCGCTTATCGGAAAAATTCCTTCGTCTGCCGTTCTTGGCGTGAGTTAAGGTGAGAGCATCTTCTTCATATGCACTCCAGAAATTCAGAGTTAATAATCAGTTTCCTGTTTTGGTCAAAGACAGCCAAGTAGATACATTCCAAAGAGTCCAGTCCAGAGAAAGGACAAATGAATGGATTTTGTCTTCTTCTAAACCAAGTGATGAATCCTACAACTTGGTTGAGTTGTTAATGGATGCTCCATCGTCACCATCGAATAACCTGAAAAGCAGAACTAGAGAAACAGGGAATGGTTTGTTATCAGAGGAAAGGGGATGCGCTGAAAGTAAACTCGACTTTTCTGAGGAGGGATCTGGGTCTGAGAGAATGGATGGACACGATAGTGAGTCAACTGACGCAAGTAGCGACAGTTTTAACTTTAGAAATCATCATCGCTCGTGCGATGAGATTAAGACTGGAACGAATCGTATCTTGTCTTCTCCGGATGGGATCAAAAAGCGGCACACGTTTGATTTTTCACAGTTATCGAAAGGTCCGAGGTCTCCACGGCGAAGACGAGACGGGAAATATCGTCACTCAAAGAGAAAGGAGTTTGATAACTTTGTTGTGACTTCTCTGAAGCCAGGAAAATACGGTTCACTTCGGCGATCAATGGAGCGTTTGGCTAGAATACAAGAGGACATAGAAGGAACCTTTTTGTTGAATACCGAAGCCGCTTTGAATGCCTGTATTCCTGAAATCGAGGCACCTTCGCCCATTGAAGAAGCAGTGAATTTAAACACGAAAATTACAAATGAAACTAATATGGCAGGAAAAGGTTTGTGCAGTACGCATGATTCAAGCCAACGCAAGAGTGATCCGCAAGAAAACGCAGCCTCATTGTCTGCCAGAGAAAGCTTTAAAAAACGAAGGCGCTTGAAAAGATTCCTATCAAAAGAATTAGTCCCAGGGAAATTGTCATTAGTGAGACATTCCAGCGAAAGTTTGCAATCAGCGGAACAATTTGATTGTTTACAAGAAAATGGTGACATAGACAGAGGGCTGTCTTCCACTGTGTCGCGCCTGACGCCTGTGTAACCACAGCATACACAGCAACACACACACCGTGAATACTTGCATCACCAAATGCATGAAGTTTAATATTGTCGATCGGTACCTCGTACTGAACAAGACTGCGAGGAAAGTACACATCATTCGGTGCATTCTTCTCCCATTTTAGCCACCGTTTCGTAATCCCCTTGGAAAGTGAGGTATCCCAGCTCAACTTCATCTCACTGGCTTCTCGATAGATTTGTTTCCCCTCTAACATATCAGGCAACACGAGTCCTAACGGGTCATAAATCTTCGCTAAGTTGGCGAGGATGCCCCGCTTGGTCAATGTAGCAGGCTGAGATGGGAGTGAAACATGTAAAGTGTCATCCCCTTTGTCCCATTTGAGTCCCAGTAGTTTGCACTCTCCACGAGCTGATGATGCATCAAGCTGTTGTTTAGCAAACGAAGGCTCGTCATCGGTGCAGTCGCTTTCTAGTTCTGGCACGTTTGAGTGCCATTTGTGCAAGGTGAACCTTGCACGATTAAAGATCTCTACAGCATGATGTTTGAGCTGTTGCGCACCTTTCATAGTAGTATCTCCGGTGATCAAATCATCTACATATAGACTGTTCTTAATTTCTTGTACAGTCCCTGGGTACTCGGACTGCACACTTTCCAGGTGCTGTTGTATCACGGCATTGAGTAGGAAAGTGTGCAGTCCGAGTACCCAGGGACTGTGCAAGAAATTAAGAACAGTGTGTATGTAGATGATTTGATTACCGGAGATACTACTATGGAAGGTGCGCAACAGCTCAAACATCATCCCCCCTTTTTTTGGTTGTGCAAAATTTATTGACCTTCCTCATTTGCACCAGCCCTCTACTCTATCTGATAGATTACAGGCACCTTTTTCCCTACCCTGGATACCAGAGATTACATATTGCCCTGTGCCAAATGCCTTGGCCACAGTGGCCAGCTGGCCGAATACTGACAGATAAAAAATAATGAGCGGTGATACAAAGACTGGAAAACCAACAAAACCCATTAACCAGTCACGAAAAGATCATAGTATCCAGGTTACTCCAGCCTATTTCGATCTTCTTAGGACTACTTCCTCTGTGTTTGCAACCAGCTGTAGGCTCTACTATCAGTACCTTCCTGTATAACATCTTTATCTCAATTTTCATTGTCTTAAAACAAAATTATCCTAACTGAATTCCCAAATGTCTCTCTCGGGTAGTGCCGAGGATTAAATATTATATCCTCACAAATATCTTTAAACAGGCAATCTTAATTTGGTACTTTACAAGCATAATCTCTTTTTTTTTTAACTTTATTTCGTTTTTTTTTTTTGGTTTGTTCCTTTTCAGGACTTTATCATTTGCGTTGAAATGTTCATATTTGCCATCATTCATTATTTCACCTTCTCTCACAAACCGTACGTGGATTCAAATTCACCACCACCCCCCTGTTGTTCGTCGTTTGTCTCAATGTGGGACGTGACAGACGTGCGTGACGACCTTGTGCTGCAAGTGCAGAGCGTGGAGAGCACGGTGAGGGGGGCAGTGGACGTCGTGCGGCACAAGCGCGGTCAAAACGCAACGAGGGGAATGAGCAACAATACTGAGGCAACGCCGTTGTTGACAAGACAGATTTCTGCGGATTCATCGTCTGATGAAGCGCCCGTGATTCCCTGAAAACTGCGCGTTTCGAACGCTCGATCATCGCAATTAAAGGAGCCTTTATGTGTCAAGACTAAACGATACGTCTCAGGTTGTGTTTACGCAAATTAAAATGAATTCGAAAAAGGGTAAAAGAAAAAAAGCTCGATTTATTGATATTTCTCGTTCTTACCTTTTTTGTAATTTTAGTAATGAAATTAAATTATTGAATAAAGAAATAATGTTACCATTCATTGAATTTTGAGTGTAGGGAAGAAAGCTTAACGTAAACCCTTTGACTCTTAGGATCTCATTTCGGCAGTTCTTCTTACTGGTGGCAAATTTACGTTATCGACTCAGTTGACGAAACCAAAATTACCTAGTTCCCCTTACAGTTCGTCATACAATTCTTATGATGTTTTTTCGGAGAATTTGGTATTGAATCAACTAATCCTTAATTGAGATTTTTTTTATTTTCATCTCAAATCTGCTTGATACGGTATTGATATAACAATTATGACAAATTCTGTCTTTGTCACTCAGGGGAGTTTGCACTGGAACAGATAAGGCTGTCAATCACGCCGTCAGAGCTACCCAGTAACCAAACGATCAATAGACCCTTTCAAGGTTAA